CCCAGTTCGCTCCTCTCTTTGAAAAGCAAAAGAAAGATTCCTTCTTCGGTATACAATCCCACCGTCCTGAGTACACTCCACTAAGCAACCTTCATTCTGAACTCTTGTGCTAATCATAATATCCTATCATATATCGCTTTTAAAGTAAAATAAATCTTTATGTAAGTGTTTTGTTGTTGTTATGTGCCTTGAACCACTTGTGATTCATTGGAACCCTATATACAACAGCCCTAAACCTTGTACTATCTTGAGCCATCTTCATTGTCTTTGACAACCCTAAGATTTGTGATGCTCCATTACCCCAGACATTGAGTCAGTCTATTTCATCCAGTGTTTCCTCTCTTCTTCTTTCCTCTGCCTTTCCAAGCATGATGTCCCTTTCCAAGCACTGGTCCCTCCTTGCAAAATGCCCAAAGTAGGTCAGACGGAGCTTCAAAATCCTTGCCTCCAAGGTGCATCTAGGTTTCACCCTCTCTAGGATGAACCTGTTTGATCTCTTAGAATTCCACTCTATATTCAGTACTTTTCTCCAGAACCACAACTCAAAGGCATCAATTCGTTTTCTATCATCCTTGTCATTGTCTAGCTTTCTGATGCAGAGAGCAGGTAACTGTGAAGACAATGGCTCGGATCAGGCACACCTCAGTTTCTAAACTGACATCATTGATTCTCAGTACCCTGGAGAGATCTCGAACAGTAAATTTTTCCAATGTAATGCATCTTTTTATTTCCTGGTTGCTGATACCATGAGTGTTGACTGTGGAGTCAAGCAAGCTGAAACTGTTAACAATCTCAATGTCTTTAACATTTATCATGATGCTGCCAATTGGCCTAGTGAGGAGAATCTTTGTTTTCTTGAAGTTCACCTTTGATCCATATTGAAGACTGCAGTACTTGACCTTCTGCAGCAAATGCCTCAATTTCTCCTCAGTTTCAGCAAGCAAGGATGTATCATCTGCAGAATGTAGGTCATTGATAAATCTTACTGTAATCCTTATGCCACATTCCACTTCATAAAGCCCAACCTCCGGAATGACTGATTCTGCATATAGATTGAAAAGGTATGGAGATACGAGGCATCCCTGGCATACACTTTTCTTGCTTTTGAATAAGCAGTGTTTCCTTTCTCATCCCAGAAGACTGCTTTCTGGTCTAAGTTTTGTATAAGCACAATTAGGTGTTCTGGGATTGTCAGTGTTCTCAGAATTAGACAGTTTACTATGATGCACACAGTCAAATGCCTTTGCATAGTTAATGAAACACAGATAGACATTCTTCTGGTACTCTCTACTTTCAGATTAATATGACTTGCTTTAGCAAATGTTACCTATGGTTTGTGATAGTCCATTAAAATGTTTTTGGATAGTAAGGAAGGGAGCATGTAAAAATATCTTCTAAAAAATTCTTATTTTTGTTGTTGTGTGCCATCAAGTCACCTGCGACTCATAGTGACCCCATTTACAACACCCCTAAACCCTGTTCTGTCCTGTGCCAATATCACTATCTATGACACACCCACCCCTATTACCCCAGTCGCTGAATCAATCCATCTCATTGAGGGCTTTCTGTTTTTGCTCTGTCCCTCCACCCTCCCAAGCATGACGTCCTTTTCGAAGGACTGGTCCCTCCTTGCAACATGTCTAAAGTATGTCAGACGAAGCTTCAGAATCCTTGCCTCCAAGGACCAGCCCAGTTTAATGCTTTCCAGGATGAATCTGTTAGTTTCCTTAGCAGTTCATGGTATATTCAATACTCTTATCCAACACCAAAGCTCAAAGGCACAAATTCTCCTTCTATCATCCCTGGTCATTGTTCAGCTCTCTGATGCATAGCAAGTGATTGCAAAGACCATGACCTATATCAGGCAAACCTTAGTCTTCAGAGTAACACCATTGCTCTTCTGTACTTTGGAGAAGTCCCCAATAGCAGACTTTCCCATTGCAATACGTCTTTTAATTTCCTGGCTGCTGGTGCCAAGAGTGTTGACTGTGGAGCCAAGCAAACTAAAGCTGTGAACAATCTCCGTCTCTTCACCATCCATCCTGATGCTGCCACTTGGTCGAGTGTTGAGAATTTTGTCTTCTTGATATTGAGCCTCAATCCATATCGAAGGCTGCAGTCCTTGGTCTTCTGCAGCAAGTGCTTCAGGCCCTCCTCAGTTTTAGCAAGCAGAGTGTGTCATCTGCATAAATTCAATTAAATATCTATTTGACATCCTCTATCACTATTTGATATAGTGATGCTTCTCATTTCATGTCTTCTTGGAAATCCAGCTTGAATTTTTAGCAGTTTACTGTTTTTGTGTTGTTATCTGCAACAATATGTTGTGTTTTCTCTTAATGATAATTTGCAATCTTCTCAATATATTGGAGCACCTTTTCTTGGAATGAATATAGAAATGGATTTATTCTAGTTGGTTATCCAGTATTTCAGTTATCTAGTAACTTATTTCTAGAACAGAAAATTACACTACATTTTTTTCTTATAATGTTATTTTTGTTGTTCTTGTTTGTGAACTTGAGTTGATTACAACTCATAGATTCAATTCTAGAACAATATCACAAGCAAGTAAAATCTTGCTGAAGATTATTAAAGAGTGACTGGAGCGGTATATTGACAGAGAACTTCTAGTAATTCACGTTAGATTCAGAAGTAGTGGTGGAATAAATACTAGTATTACTGATATAGGATATATCATGGCTGAAGCCAGAGAATATCAACAGAATGTTTACTTGAATTTTATTGATTTTCGAAGGAATTTGATGATATGGATCATAATAAATTATGGCTAACACTGAGAAAAATGGGAATCGCACAACACTAAATTGTGCTCATATGAAATCTATGCATAGAAAAAAGAAATAGTTGTTCTAACAGAAAAAGGGGACACTACAAGGTTTAAAAGTAGGAAGGATGTGCTTCAGAACCATTCAAATATACAGCAATCAAAATTGGACCTTGATTCTGTCCCATTTGAATTTAAAAACCAACTCAGGAACAGGTTTGAGGCCTTGAACACTAATGAACAAACATCAGATGAGCTGTGGAGGATATCAAGAATATCATCCCTGAAGAATGCAAAAGGTCATTATAAATACAGAAGAAGATAGGACAAAAATGGATGTCAGAAGAGTCTCTGAATATTGCACTAGAGCACCAAGAAGCCAAAGCAAAGGGAAGAAATCAAGAAGTAAAGGAACAGCATTAGCTACCATGGATAGCTATTACCCAGGTACTTTGTGGGGATCACTGTTGTTTGGATAAATCACGTAGGACCCCTTGAGCCCAAGCAGAAGAGAGAAGGACAGCTGGAGCTTGAGTGAGATGGCAGAGCCAATCCTTGAAGGGCAAATCAAGGCTTCCTGGTTTCCCATTCAGGGTGAAAAGAAAACCTTCTAACTGGGAACAAATATTTGGCAATGCTATCTCAGACAAGAGTTTAATAACAAAACTTTATAGAATACTCCTGGGCCTCCACAAGCAAAAATCTGTGACAAACAATGTATTCAAACTTTGTAAATAAATCAGAATAATATAAAAAATGTAAAAAATAAACAAAAACTGCCACCTAAACAGATATATGCACACTCATGTTTATGACTTCATTATTTACAACAATAAAGAGAAAGAGGGAACTCAAGTGTTCATCAATAATGGATGGAAAAACTATGGTATATTAACACAATGGAATATTATGTAGCATTGAAAAACAAACTCAAAAAACATTATACAACATGGATGACCCTGGAGGACACTGGACTAAGTGAAATACATTAATATTTCACAGGACCGACATGGAGGCTGCGGGGATACTAGAAAAGATGGTATACAAAATGAACACTGCATTGGAACAGATGAAGGGAAGAACTGTTTAAAAGGAATATATAATTATGCAGTATTTTTATGACCTCTGTCCAGAATAAGAGGTATAGAGCAAAGTGGACTAGGGGAGGCCTGGAAGAAGGGAAGGAAGTGTGCAAAAATGAATGAATAAAAATCCAACTTTTCTGAAAACTTTTGTTAAAATCATAAGGGGGGAAGCAAATTAACATAGACTTAGCTTACCTCCGATGGAGAAGAAGGACATTCCAGTAGTGCATCAGCTCCTTACCAGGTACTTGAAGCATTTCCACCTCGCACCAGTCATGAGCCGGGAGGAGGTAGAACACACTGGTTCTACCCCCAGGAGAATATCATCGACACTTTCGTGGTGGAGCGTGCAAACGGTGAGGTGACGGACTTCCTGAGCTTTTACACCCTTCCCTCCACCATCATGAACCATCCAACTCACAAGAGTCTAAAAGCTGCTTATTCGTTCTACAACGTTCACACCCAGACCCCTCTTCTGGACCTCATGAGCGACGCCCTTGTTCTCGCCAAAATGAAAGGGTTTGATGTGTTCAATGCACTGGATCTCATGGAGAACAAAACCTTCCTGGAGAAGCTCAA